TCTCTCTCTCTCTCTCTCTCTCTCTCTCTCTCTCTCTTGCACAAAAGGTTTTAAAGAATATAGCCCCGCGATTCCTCCGGATAGCGAGAGTTTCACAGCTATGCCACCCAAGTTGGAAAACTTATTTCACTGTATATACCCCTCCCCCGTTCCCGCTCATACTTGCGGCCTGGGTGCTGTTATACGCTTCCTCCGTATTTTATTTAGTCTCCGGGAGGAGTGCAGGCCGGGTATGGTGGAGCGGTCGTGAAGTCGACGAGGATGACGAGCACAAGAGGAATAAAAAGATGGGAATAAAGAGGGAAGAGGGAAAAAAAACAATTTAAAAATGATAGTATACAGCGAATGGGAAAAGTACGTGGAGTGCGTTATTTTTCATTATTACTGTGGCGCAGGGATGGCTGTGGTAATTTCACCGCTAATTGTCAATTTTCCAACACCATGGGACAGTTGGTCCAACCCCCCCTGGTGATTAATTTCATCACTTATGTTGTCACTGGCGAACTGGACGCATTCGTTAATTTCATAATTCCCGCTAAAACTGTGTCTCTGGATGTCAGGTGTTATTAATTCAGATTTGGGGGGGTTTAGTGATTTCATGAATAGCAGATTTGACGGTAATTTGGAGAAGTGGAGGGATTGGAAGAATGGAAAAACTTCTAATTCTTGCTAAAGCTTTGTGATTTTACCCGGGAGTTTTGGCGAGTCGAATGGAGGTGGAGGGGATAAGTGAATCTGCGTAGAATACAGAACCCTCAACGGTTTGAGATTCCGACTCCAGGGAAATGAAGTCTTGTGTTCGACAAGGGTTTTTGACATTTGCTTATTTGATTTTGCGAGGAGAAAAAAAGGAGGAAGCAACATTTTTAATATGTAGGGTCACGAGGGTCATAAAAACTGCTGTTAATTCCGATTTGGCTATCCAAATAATTTAATAAAACGTGATTTACAATGGAAAAAATTTAAAAACTTAATTCTTGGTTAATCGTTATGATTTTACCTGTGAGTTTTGGCTAGTCAAGTAGAAGTGGAGGGGATAAGTGAATAAGTAAAGATTTCGGAGTTCTGACATCAGCTAGACAAAATTTCCTGTTAGACACGGGGATTACATTTGTTAATTTTTTTATTTAATTTCACGAAGAGAAAAATAAAAATCAAGCAACACTTGTAACCTCTGGGGTCGCAAAGGTCATAAAAACTGCTATTAATTCAGATTTGGCTATTAAAGTAATTTAATGAAAAGTACATTTCACGGTAATTTGAGGGTAGGTACGGAGAGAAAGAATGAAAAAACTTTTAATTCTCGGTTAATCGTTATGATTTCACCCCGGAGTTTTGGCTAGTGCGAACGAAGGTAGAGGGGATGAGTGAAACGGTGTACAATAAAAGGCCCGCGACTGGTTTGGGGATTCTGAATCGGCGGCCGCTTTTCCCGTGCCACCGGGGACTCGTACCAATTTGGAAATGAATATTTCGTCCCGTTATCTAGCTCCCTTCGGGCCAACACCCCTGGATACCTCTAAAGCACACACCCGGTAGTCTTGTACTCAACCTTCTATGCTCCATAGTCTACGTGTATAAAGACTGGGGAAATTAACTCGGCTGAATGTGAAATTGAATTTATGCCCTTATAAGTTTCCTTCATTTCCTTGACCCCACGAGACTACCCGCGCTCAGTCTTTCCTCATTCCCGGAAGTTCTTTTTTTTCCTTATTCTTAGGTTGAGTTAGCTAGGCGTGAAGTTATTAATTAAACTCGATCCTAACCTCATCTATATTCTTTCTTGCAATCTTCTTTATTTAGGTTTCTCTTGAAATTATTTTTCTTTTACGGTTTTAGCTTATGAATGATGAATTATGTTCGGTTAAACAATTTGACTCTTCGCTGGGGATATTGTCTTTAAGATGTGTGTGAAGACATCAGACATGTAAAAAAAAGCATTCACATGCATTTGAAAGGGTCATGGCGGCGGGTGAAGGGCGCATTTTGTTTTGTAATCCTTATTCTGAGCCTTGCGACCCTTATTCTGACCCTTATAACCATTATTTTAACCCTTGTGCCCCTTAATTATGGAATCTTAATTTCGAGTACCAAATTTTTATTACTTGTTAGTCGATTTGGATTTTTATAATACAGAGAGATACCAACAGACGGCAACATGGGACTACCAAAGGCCATAAAAAAAAAACATTTGCCCACTCAAAAACTGAAAAGAGTAATATGAAAAACCATCTCTACAAAATCCTCCTTGCAACCCACCCTTCTCCCTTGAAATATGGCCATATCCTGGATAGTATCGTATCGAACGTGAATAAATGGAAAACGAGGGAATCTCTTGGATTTCACAGGTCACTTTGAACTTGTGGATTTTCTCCTTTTTCCTCGCCTCTCGCTACTCTTTTTCTATATCCAGGCCCATTTCCAATAGTTTTGAACCGTTTCTGAAAACTTCCAACTGCACGATACACTGAGAATGAAATAGACATGTGTGTGCAGTTTGTCGTGTACTTCTGCGGGGGGGAGAGGTGGACAAGGAAAAATAAATAAAGTAAAAGCATTTTGTCTTCATGTGTTACATGCTCTTCGTGTACATAGTCCTGGGTCCCTTCTGCACTTGAGTTAATTTCAAACACCCGGAGTGGTGTATTTGAACGTGTTGAGAGAGGCAAATAGTGCTGATCTTTGTTAATGATAATTTCCGAAATTATTCTCTGGGATGGAAAATTTACGAAGGTTTTATTGCTGCCTGCTGGTGGGGATTAGGTGGGTGGACAGGGGGACAAACGACTTGACAAGCAATGACAGGTTTTTTTCTCTCCTCGTTCATGGAATGGTTCGGATGTTTTTTGATAAATGGCCTGTAGATATCAGTGGCAAGTTTCTCAAGCGTCACGAGAGGAGGGTGGGAACAACGGAAACATGGGTTTCTTCCTTGATACTCGGTCATTTCTTCTTGTATACACATTGGCGTGTAAACCGATGGTAGGACACGGGAAAAGATGAATTGATACGAGTCACGCGTGCTTTATGATCAGTCAGGGGATGTTGACAGTTGTCAGGGGCATTTAATACTCCCTCAAGTCAATTTTTCTGGTGTCATAATTTCTTCTTTTATTGCAAAGTCTGGATTCACTTACTTTTTATTGGTGTCGAGGCCGATGGAGAGTGGAAGGAGGGGCTGATCAGGTGTGAACAGGAATGTGTTGGTACCTGAGCAGGTGCATGTAGACGATGCTTGCAGTTATATTTTTGAGGCTATCGGATCTGTACGTGGTTTTAGATAAAAGGTTTTGAAAAATCAAGTACGAAGACCTGATCAGGTGGGAATGTACCTGATGAGGCACTGGGAATTACAGAATCCGGTGGATTAACCTGAATTGTACATAATCTAGACTAAACTCATTCCAATCGACCCGCATTCACTCAGTCATCCACCTGATCAGGCCTGTATGAAAACCCTGGAATAATCGAGCTCAGCCTGTACCCGAATTAGGCATTTCAGGTACCTGACCAGGCATTTCAAGGTAAAATCAATTCATGCTGGCATCTAAATTAGACCCATTCTAACTAAATTATAATTTCTCAGTGCTCCACCTGATCAGGTCTTACCACAACACATGGAATCTCTAAACATCCATCTGTACCTGAATCAGATTCACTCACGTTGAATTACCACTCCAGTCAACATTTAATTAGCATCCCCGATAACCTTCAACCCCCGTCAATTAAACTTCCCCTTTATATCAAACATCAGGTCACTATATACCTGATTAGGTTCACCCGAATATGGTCGCATCAAAAAATATTTAGTTTCATTTTTTATCATCAAAATGATCAGACGATCTTCCGCTAAATTTTCCAGCGTCCTGAGAGATACCTGATCAGGTATATGAAGAATCAATTCGTGTCTGAATCTGAACTGCACCCGTCACAACTAACTCCTAATAAGTCAGATTTATACCTGATCAGGTCTAGTCAAAAACCTGCAATCACTCAACATCCATCTGTACCTGAACCAGATTTACTCAATGTGAATTTGCACTCGGATCAACACGTAATCAGTATATCCTCTAACCCCCGTTAATCAAATTGCCTCGTTTTACCAAATATCCATGTAAATGTAGATAAGAAGAAAGAATCCACTCTCGAGTCGTGATATCGCGACAGAATACGAAAAAATCCAGTTCCTGAGTGGTAATCTTTAAAGATGTAGACTACACAGCCACCGCCAAAGAATTTGGTTGCCCGTGAGACTACTTCACCCTCCTGGTCACGCCTCTCTTTTCCATGTCGAGATGCGGCTCGCGAAAAATCCCCTGCGTCTCCACCCCCTCCTCCTCTCACTGTTTTTTAACCTCTGGCTCTGGTGAACTGCACTACGGCCATCGCCATGGGAATCACTCGGAGGTTTTTGTAATCGAGTCTTCTATCCGTGCCTTAACCCCGTCTCTCCCCTCAGGTATTCTCCAACGCTCGGTGAATCTAATTGCTCTCTGTGCACCGGGCAGAATAATTTTCCAGCTGCGTTGCTCCTTTTTTCAGCTTTTGTAAAATGCATTAATTCGATTTTCCCGAAACGCACGATTGTTCTGGAATTTTGGATAATCATTTTGTGGACTTTTTTTTCTGTTGCAGGACGACGAGCGCGAAACATCGACATTTTGGATGGTGGCTCGAGTCATCGCATGTTGACGCTAGATACAACAGCCGAAGATTACAACAGTTGTAAGTATTTTGCATGAGTTTTTCAATAATTCTTTGAAATGTATCATTATTTTTAGAGTTGTGGAATTTTTGGCCGTAATATCAAATTATCTGGCTCATTTTTACTGTTCAGTTTAGGAATCAGGAATTTTGGCTAAAATTGATATTTTAGCTCAAAAATCGAATATTTTAATGCTTATTGAAGCACATGATTTTTTAACCCACATTTATGGTTCGATCAATATGATTTTCAGAAAAACTAATTTTTTGAAAACTAGATGTCTAGAGAAATTTTGGAACATTTCCCTTGTTTGATTTATTTTTCTGCTGAAAATGCAGATAATAAAGTCGCTGGCAAAATATTTGATTTTTTAGCCGAAATTGACTTCTCGATTGAACAAAACGCAGATATTTCTAGCACTGAAAAAAGATGATTAAGTATAAAATTAAATATATAAACTTCTGGCTCTAATTTATTTATTTCGTCAAAAAATCAGATATTTAGGGCATTGGTGGAGCATTTTTTTTGTAAAATTTACTCTTCGGCTAAAAAATCAGATATCCCAAGCATTAAAGGAATTTCCGTTTATTTTTGGAGAATTTTCTTTCTATACTGAAGTAAAAAATTCTCAAAAAATCGTTTGATTTTTTTTACCGAAATTTATTCTTTAAAAATGCAGCCAGATATTTTGATGACCTTCAAGATATAATTTTCTAGCCCAAATTCAATGAGAGATTTTTACACTTATCGAATCATACGCCCGTTCGGTTCAAATATATGTCCCTTCGGCCATAAAAAAAATGTCATACATCCTCCAACATCACCACATTTATGTCATAATTTGGGTTAATCAGTGATGAAGATCAACAATATGTCAGTCAACAGGGAGTCTATTCTCGAGTTGAAATCGTGCGTTCGATTTCGACAGGTCGCATACGACTCATGCTACGCCTTATGGGCCGCATGCGACTTTACGAACTCGAATGTACGATTTCAATTCGAGAATAGGCTCCCAGACCTCTCACAGCAAATTTCCACCAATAAAGTCATTAGGATTACATTAGTCATTAGTCGTTATTTTTATGTCACAATATCGTCGTATATTTCTATTTATTCTCGTTGAGTTTTCTACAGGGTATTACAGGCGAGTTTTCGACCGCCTGTAGCTGACCAATAATGCGAAAAACAGCGACATTCATCATTGCCAAAAAATTTTGTTCTGTCATGGAGAAGGGTCTGTGTTGCCAAAATATATTATTTTTCGGCCAAAAAACAGATATTCCGTACATCGAAAGAACTTGATTTTTTGACTGAAATTTACCCTTCAAAAATGCAATCAGATATTTTGATAACCTTCAAGATATAATTTTCTAGCCCAAATTCAATGAGAGATTTTTACGCTTATCGAATCTTATGCCCGCTCGGCTCAAGTATATGTCTCTTCGGCCATAAGAAAATGTCATTAGCATCATTTCTTCCAACATCACCACATTTATGTCATAATTTGGGCTAATCAGTGATGAAGATCACCAATATGTCAGTCAACAGACCTCTCACACCAAATTTCCACCAATAAAGTCGTTAGGATTCCGTTATTTCTATGTCACAATATCGTCGTATATTTCTATTTGTTCTCGTTGAGTTTTATACGGGGTATTTCAGGGGAGTTTTCGACCGCCTGCAGCTGATCAATGACGCGAAAAACAGCGGCATTCATCGCTGCCGCAAATTTTTTGTTCGGTCATGGTGAAAGGGGGGAGGTGGAAACCCATATGAAGATCCGATTTTTCTTGTTCCCTTTTTTCCTCCCATTCTTCTTTATTGCGTTGTGAAGCCTCGGTGGCAATCGCGTGATGCACGATTTCGGGGGTGAAATATCAAGAAAGGAGAATTTCTCCTGCTATCGAGAGGGAAAAACTGATAGAGCACTGATAATGATTTCTGTTACACAACAATTCTTCATTTGATAAGTTATATCATTTGGCTCGCAGTTGCTTCGTCACGATTGTAATACTGTAGTAATGTAATTACTCCGCCCTGTGATTCCACAAACTTTAATGCAATTGTGTATAGAGCAGGGGATATTAGTCACGCATTCGGAATTTCCGGGTACTTGTTTCAGTGATCAACGCTGTAATATGTTTGCCTGGATGTAGACTTGCTGAGGCCTTCTGTTTATCACGATTGTCGACTCAGTAATGTTGACTGCTGTGTACTGTAGCTCGTATTAGACATATCTAGTGGGGAATGCGAGGCACTTTGTCATTCTACCATAAAGTTTGATGAGGATGGGCGAGGGGTGCGGAGAGATTGACTTCGGATTAATTTATTGTTAATGAAAGAGAAGGCAGAATTTACTTGACAATTTGAGGTACATTCTTTTGAATGAGTTATTTCATTTGAACTATTATTCGAATTAATGTGGTTGTGGTTTTTGAAATGGTATTGTAGTATACTGAAAAATAATTCATGATGAAAATATTCAATGAATTTATAGTTCAATTTTTAATTGAGTTTATCTACAATAGTACTTGAACTTTAATTTCCAATCGTTTCAATGATTTTATAATTTAATCTTTTCAGGTCTGAATTTTAATCTCGATATCCAAACATTAGAAAACATTTTAAAAATCTGAAAAAAATTAGAAAGTTTACTTTTGGAGGAAGAGTAATGAAATAATTTATTAATCATTAAAATTAAATATTTAGAAAAATTATTAAATATTCAAATACCTTAAAAATAAATCTGGCCTAATTTTCATCACGTTATCAAGATAAAGCGGAAATTATCGGCTCCATAATAATGAATCAGTCCCAAAGAACATCAACATCCATAAATTCATCAACAATTCCAATCCCAAAAACTTCGATAAAGTACGACTCACCCGGGCTGATGTATCAAAGATCGTGGTATGCATGAATTTTCCCCGAGTATTCGCGCAACACACCGCCCCAAGAAGGTACACTAAGTTATTCGACACTAGTAGACCACAAGTCCTGGCGAGAGGAGGGGGGGTATGTAGTACTTTCAAGACGAAGTACCTAGCTTGCGGTATGAATATGAATGAAGGCCCACCGTGAGAAATGCCAAATAAAATAATTCAAAAAGTGACGTTGAATGCACACGCAATTCTTCCCTCATTTTTTCACTCTTTTCCTTTCTCTTTGTCTCTCTCACCTCCTCCCTGTCTCTCTTCAGCTCAACCGGCAACTTTTCACGGTGTGTAACGAGACGTCAAGAGCCTCCAGTTTGCGTCAAGTTGCTGCTACGTGTCGAGATGAAAATAAATTGTGAAATATTAAATTTTTACGGTAGAACAAAAAGTCGTTTTTAAAGTCATGTTAAAATATCATGTTTTTGTGGTATTAACGATGTGAGGAAGTGGATGAGGAGAGTAAGAGAAAAAATAATAATACGAAATCATTAAGGCAAGAGAGAGAGAGAATGGAGGAGGAAAAAAACTTGAGCTCAGTCACACGTACGGAGTCTTTGTGGGGGAAATTGTTGAAGCACTCGCTTTTGTACATTTTATTATTTTTTTTTTCCTGAATGAGGATGAAAACCACTGGCAACTAAAAAACATTCATCACGTTCTACTGGCTAGTATTTTGCACCTTAGCCCCGTCTGTTACAACCATGTCTTTCATGCATTGCGTGCCATCATTTGTAGCGGAATGATCGTGTTTCATGCGCTCATTGTCACAGGACGTGTGCAATCGAGACTCGTGAATAGAAGGAAAAATTCAACGTGAGGGGGAAAATTGGACGTCTTTCTCACTGTTTGTTTACAGTATCTCGGTATATTATCAAAATCCAAATCGACTTCTGGTAATGAAACTTTGGTACTCGAAATTAAGTCTCCAAAATTACACAATAAGGGCCATAAGGGTTAAAATAAGGGTCGCGAAGTTTATGATAAGGGTCACGAGGGTCGGAATAAGCGTCACTATGGGTTAGACGAAAGGTCACAAGGGTCAGAATAAGTTAGGGTCAGGAAATAAGTGTCATAAGGATTAAAATAAGGGTCACGAGGGTTACAATAAGGGTCGGCATAAGGCTCACGACGGGTTAGATTGAAGATTACAAGGGTCAGAATAACTTAAGACTCTAAAATTAAGGGTCAGAAAATAAGGTTCACAAGGGTTAGAATAAAGGTCACGAGGGTTGTAATAAGGGTAAACACATATCATTTTTATGAAACAAATGATAACTTCAAGAAAAAACTTGAATTTCCTTACCACGAGGGTTATCATGGTTTGATGGAAACTTTCTTTTTTGTCTACAAGTAAACTGATTCAACACGACAAAAGATCTCTTTAGCGAAACATAATTTTTCGGCAGAACTAATTTTCTCTTTCAGCGCATAAATTTCACTTCGGAAACTCGTTTCTATTAGTTTTGTTTTATTCCATCTGCTCGCTATCTGCCACTCGCTCAAAATGATTGTTATCCATGAAAATAATATCCTGACACCTCATTACCATCACTTAATCGTTGCACACCGGGTAATATTAATTTATCTCCGCCATCAGCAATGATCAGATCCCTTGTAACCTCACATTTCACATCCGCCATCCGATCCCAATTTTTTTTCTAGCTCTAATTACATTTGTTAAATTTTCAACGGGAGAATATACATAACTCTCACAGTTTCAAATTAAATACTGGATTAATGTAACAGGAAGCCAGCGGCAATGGTTTTTTTTTCTTCATTTCGATTCTCCGAGTTACGTTGCAGTGCCCATGGTGCACGGAAACAAACACGAGGAAACAAGATGCAAGGGAGAATGGGGT